ATTTATAAAAAGAAAGAAACACAATTATCTGTTTTTTCTTGGCACAAATTATTGTTTATGGTTTCGAAATTCTAGCTTAATTAGTGCACCAACAGAAGTGAAAAAAATGAGCAATGAACACTGGACAGCATCCAAAGCTCTAAAAAATAGAAGTAGACACACTAAAAAAGGCAGGGCAGCTCAAGTAGATAGTCTTTTTTTTTTTTTTCTCCTTGGTTTTATTCTCTCTCTTGAATAATTATAGTATTAGTTATATGATAAATCTACAGAAAGGAAGATACGAAGAAGGACCATTTTATATATTCGTGGATTGGAAATAGCTTCCACACACCTAAACTAGTCCCTTGTCCATTTGCAAGTGCCTTTCACTATCTACTCACCCTAAGAAGCTACCTTCAAGTCAAATGTTGCAAACGTGATTTTTGTTTTGCTGCCAAAAAAAAAAAAAGCCATTTTAATTCATGCTAGAAGAACCAAAGATTTTTAGCATCTTGCCATTGTCAGGTATGAGGATGTTTAAAACATTCTGTATCAGAAAATGCAATCGATTGTTGGTTTTCAACAAGAATTCGCACGTAAGATGGGTGATCTCTGAGACTTTTTTTTTTTGGTTTTCAACAAGAATTCGCATTAGGAAAAGAATTTTGTCAAAAACCTACAGCATACAGCCCCCGACTCACATCCTACATGACCACTTGCATGCAAGTTTAACCCACAGAAGGCTTGTGCAAAGTAGGAATCACTGTTAAGTTGCATAGATTAATGTCCATGGAGAAGAGAGGTCAAGGGGCAGTGCTCCTTGCAACAGGTGGAGTACATGGCTTCCAAAAAGTTTACAGAATATTAAAACATATATACACATATGTATAAGTCTGTTAAGTTTTTTTTTTTTTTTTTTTAATTCTAATTATTTATATTATAAATAGAGACAATATTATTTGTATTTGTAGCTATCACTTGAAAAAATCTAATAAAAATTTTTAATCCAATCATAAAATAGATGCTATTGTCGAAATCACATAAAATTACTTATTGGTTTCCTGACAATATCAACGTAGAAGATAAAAACCTGATTCACAAGCCAGTCTACAAATCTATTGCCTGCTGGTCATCAAATACGGTGGATGGCACACTTGCTACTCACCATCGAAGAGGGATTGGATCCACCAGACTAGGCTCAATCAGTAGACTAACAGCCCAGACAGAATTCATTTGGTCCAATCCATAATAGGTGGATCACATTCACATCATGGTTTTAAAAAATGACCGTTACGTCGCGTAACGACCGTCATATAACAGTAACGGGGCAACCCGTTATCATTTTTTGACGTTATAAGGACCTCAATGTCGTTTCATGCCCATAACGACAGATAACAACATTATTGTTATGTAACACCGTTATTAGCCGTTATATAACGATGTTATATATAAAAAATTTAAATTGTTGAAGAAAAAACCTAAAATGCAATTAGATATTTTTTTTATCTTTTTTTGCTTTCTTTCTCCCGCAATTACGAATGAGAAGAAGAGACTTTTTTTATCTTCTTTTGCTTTTTTTCTCCCATAGTTACTAATGAAAGGAGGGACTTTTTTTTTTTTTTTTGGCCTTCTTTTGCTTTCTTTCTCTTACAATTACTGAAACTATAACATATTTTATTATTTTTCATGTAATATTAATCTATTAGAAGTGTTATTAATTATTTTTTTATAATAAATTTAACTATTGTTATATGTTATTAAACTATTAAAGGTCTTAATTACTTATTATTATGTTTAATTAGTAAAGCTATCAAAAAATGTGAATTAGAATAAATTTATTATCAATTGTTAATATATTCACATAATTAACTGTCGTGACCGTTATTTTACGACCGCGATGAGCCGCAATCGCGATCGTATTTTTAACGGCGATCGCTATTTAAAACTATGATTCACACCCTACCAAACGTTCTTTATTATCTGGCTTGTGTTTTAAATTTGATGCAACTCCTTTCCATGTCATCTCTCTCTTACCTAGTTTGAAAGAAGACACAATGCAACGGATTGGCAGGAACCAAAAAGCAGGTTGAAAGATACATTTATTCTGCCATTGCCATAAGCACCAGCTGAAAACTCAGGTCCAGCTGCACTCACCCTTTACCATTTCCTTCCTCGCAATGTTAGACTAAAAAACAGTAGTCGAAATTCATGTGGTAGAAATCTTTCACCGTTTGTTTGACCAACTCCACAACCATTACAAACTGACCTTGCATTTCATTTAAAACATTGAGGACCATGGCAGAATTCCCCGCACAACATATACATGTAGCATCATCTGTTTCTTAACTGACGGTTTCAAAGTTGAGGAGCAGCTTTTCAAGAATGGCTAACCAAAGGAACCGACATATTCATTGTGGGTAAATTTACCATGGTTGGTAAGGCCCCAAATCATTTTATCTTCCTCTCTTCCTGATTCAGACAATCTGGAAACAGTAAGCATAAGGAAACTGGGAGAAGACGCTCAAATTTGGTCTACCACCATTGGCCAATATCTCACATAGCATTTGCATCACCTTTGGAAAAAACTGAATAGCACTGTCAAAGAGAGATTTTCCAATATCAGTACACAATCCAGTCAAAACCAAATACTTCTTCTACTAACAATCCAGCATAGCATTTCCACGAGGATCAATTGTTTTTACACAGTGACTGTCCCTGTTTGCTGTTTGAACGGAATCGAAGATCAGCTGGCCAGAACACTTCATTTCTACGTAAACATTAGCTGACATTAATATACCTGTAAAACATGCAAGGATTGATGACGAGGTTTTGCAAAACATAACACTGTATTGAATGAATCACAAAGACAAGAAATTATATTGAAAAAAGTTCATGCCATAGACAGACTTCAACTTCCCGGCCGTAGTTAAACAATTGGTCTATCATCACATTTAAGTTCTTGTTTTTATTCCATAAAGAAATATAAAAAAAAATCGTTCAAAAGAAATCAGCACATGAGATTTGAAATAATTGCAAGCAGGACCTATTGAAATAATGAAACAGAAATTTGATACATCAGTCAAGCAGTTCTATTGACAGATTGTCGAGATTGAAGATGTTCCACTTAGGCAGCCTCTGCAGATCCACTACTGGTAGCATATAAGGGTATTTGGTATGATGAAGAATCAGATTGGCCGATGCTTTTATCTTTTACCATGCGGGCAAAGAATGAAATGATCGAGGGTCTAAGAGGTCAGGAGTGTACCCGACAGATAGGATGGGTATTGCCAATCCCTAAACAGCATTAATGCAAGCTCCAAAAATGGGTACAAAATTTCTGGCAACTGCATGTGGGCCAGGGTTACTTATTCCAGTTCTTTTCTGGCTTGAGCAAGAGAAAACATTAGAATCAACCAGAGGAAGACATGAACACTAACATTTATGGTTGAAGTGGAAATAACATCAAGACACCAAAACAAGTTGATATAGGAATGATATCTCCAACTGGGTTAGATGACACCAGATATCCGATGAGTTGGGAGAAATTGTCATCTCTATATTCCTAGTTTCTAGGAGGTCTTAGTAATTTATTCATTTTGGAAATAGTTGCTAGTACTTGAGTGTCCCTATACATCTGGTGCTTCAGTGGATTTAAGATCAACGGTCAGCGGTCCGATTTCTTTGCAAGAGTTGGTATACATTAATCCTAGATACAAATTGTGCAAGAACAAAATAGGCAAGGTTCTGTAGCTTCACAAAATGAACGATAATAGGTGATGTCATGTAATGTAAAGAGAGATTTAAGAAGAAAAGAGAAAAGAGTACGGATTTGGAAGCATGTCAATTTTAAGTTCAACTGATGTGTGTGGAATGGCATAAAGCCATAGCTTGGCAGAACTTCATCTTACAATGGTCGAACATTTGGCCTTTCTTGACATTTAAATTATTGTGTTTCTTTTCTATAAAGAACCTTCCTTTTTTAAGAGAGGCTCCAGAACAGTTCAAGGGAACTAGAACATGAGGATTGAGATAATGACAATTAAATTCCATTGAAGTAACAGAGGCAGACAATCCAGCATTCTGCAGTTTAACTGGAAGTGTTTGTAATTCAAGACGATTCCCCCATAAGCAGCTTTTGCCCATTCACTATTGATAAGTAGTTAAGAAATTAGTACAATGGAGAATCAGATCATCCAATATCCGCATGCCAAAGCATGAAGCAAAGTGAGACTAATACTTTGAGTAGCAAACAAAGGAGTTAAGGATGAAATGCAACATCACAGTGCACTGATACGTCTGTTGTAATCTTGAACTTCAGAAAAGAAAACAAAACTCAAGCTGTTCAAGGGTCTGGAAGATAATTAACAAACCTGGGGTTAACTTGAAGGAACAACACAGATGACCATGTAAAAGGAACCCTGAAAAGCAATTTCACGAATTTCTACGCCAAGAATCTGCTCGTAGCTTAAATACTTGAAACCAATGTATGAAGGAAAAATCTGGGATTTTTTGGTTACTGCTTAGAGAGCAAGAGATTAATGAAACATGTATGGAGCTTGCTTGTCATAATACCCGCTCACAATTATTAGTGCATAACCATCTCTGGACTATCTGCTTATGAGAAGCATGAAAACCTGAGAGAAAAGTCTCATGACAAACGTGAGACTGTGCAGGTGTTAGAGCTGTAAATGTAATGGTATAAATACCAAGCCAGCAAAACTTCCAACACCAACAGTAGCAAACAAATAGCACCAAGAGAATCACAGTTTACAAACTGGATTACAAGTCAAATAAGTAGTATTAAGGTCAAAAGAATAGCTATAGAAAAGTAGTTAAGGTTGGATAGCAATTCCATGATGGAGACGTTCTCCATTATAGTTATTATTACGAGACTTGAGTACTTGATTCCTGACTTTTACATTGCCATCCAAGTCCCAACTGAGCACTGTACAAGGGATTAGGAGAGTTTATCAAAGGCATAAGAGAGAGAACTGAACCTAACCAGGTCAAAAATCACTATTCTAGCTATGTAGTCCTACAACTGACACAGCACCCATAGAGATGCTCACCCTCAAGATAAGAAACGTTACATAGATGATTATAAGGCCAACTCCTAACATCTTGCTAGGACGCATGTCATTCCTTGGAAGCACAATTAGTGACCAAATAAGCCCTGTCATTAAAAATACTATTGTAAAAAACGAGTGTGGATCTTGGGGAACTGCATATGCTGAAGGTTTCCTGGACCAGGCTCCAAGAAGCATCGAGATTCCCAAACCAGCAAGTGTATTGAACATAGGGCCTGCATAGCACCCAGACATGGCAATCTGCACACTCTCTCCACCATTCATTGCCAGTGCAACATTTGACATCAAATCACCCATTGAATTTCCCCAAGCCAATACAGTTAAACCAAGGATTGATGGACTAATGCCCAAGATCACACCTAATGCCACAAGCAAAGCAACAAGCTCATTTGCAACAATGTAGAACCAGATGATACTCATAAAAAATCCCCCCAAAACCCAAGGAAATAGAAATCTGTGAGGTGGCTCATCAGCTCTGGTATACAGATATGCAAGAACACCAAGTAAACCACCAGAAACAACACCAAAACAAGACCAAATTTCACGATTCACTATTCCAAGGTCATCTTGTGTGTTCCACAAAAGCACTAGAAGAATGGGTGCCAATGAAGCACTAGCAACAGCATACCCTTTAGACCACCTTTCCTCCTCAACTATCGGGATTGTCAACCTTCTCAGGACTGTAAATGGCATCTCCAGCAACCAAAACAGTTCTGAACAAGAGCAGGAAGGATGATCTTTCATCGTTTCCTCCTCATTCCAACCCCACAAATATTTTGGGCTCTCTGTAGTTTCCTTCAAGGTCTGATTGGAATATATTGCTAGATTTGAAGCCCACATCCAATGAGGCAACTTATTTTGGAGATGTGGGACATCACTTTTGGAATCAGTGTCAAGCAATGAGGCATAAATAGATTCATCCTCTTCACTTCCTTGAGCAAACAAACTTCCCTTAACAGGAAGCAAAGGTGTTAAGGAATCGAATCTCAATCTCTGGGCATGCTTAATCTCATTCGCAGCAACCACAAATGCATAGGCTACATAGATCAAAACAAAGGCTATTGCAACTCCAACAGTCACCTTACCGACAATCAAAACAATAGCAAGCCATACAAGAGTGAACAAAAAGAAACATATATCTCTAGTAAAACATTTCCTATCAATCTGAACTCTTCTCTCCGCTATGCAAAGAGATATAACACCCACAACAACACAAGTAACAAAAACAGCTCCACCCAACACACTATTGAGTCCCACTTCACCTGCACCCTTACCCACGAATGCAGCAATGCTAGCAAACACATCTGGAGCTCCATTCCCCAATGGCAACAAAGTAACACCAGCAACAGTCGGAGACAGCCTCAACAAATTTGAAAGCTTCTCCAACGAACAACAAAAGTAATTCGCAGCAGTATTTCCTAACAAATAAAACAAAGCAACAAGCCATATGGCCAAAACTACATAGCCCAACATAGCAAGTTTCTTGCAATCACAATAGAAGAACCTAACGTAATGAAAGAGCCCACGTGAAGTACATTCTGGGTGGGCAATCAAATACTCACAACTGCTACTATAACCCTTGTGTTCTAACAATCCAGGACAGAATTGTGCATCATTGGGTGGTAAAACATTTGTATCATAAACAGTAGTAGTAGAAGAAGTAACATTAATATCAGCAGCAATTCTCCTGCCTCTCAATTCCCATTTTTGAGAGGAAAGAAGTGACTGTGAATTTGGTTTTAGGAGAAATTTACTGTGATTGTAGACTAAGAAAAGAAACACCAAGAAACCAAGTACATTGAAAATTCCAAGGAATTGAGAACGCCCCATACCATGGAAACCAGTTGGTTGGATCATATTTTGCATATTATAGTCAATTTAAACACCAAAAGGAAATGATCACATACTCAAGAAATTAATGGTCAAGAAAGCGTCTCTGATTTTTGGCAATAGAATAGAATAGAATAAATGGGAAGGGAGGGAGAATAAGGGGAAATGGGGCTATGGTGTTGAGGTTGAGGGGATTACCTTCGAAAGTTAAATAGAGAGAAGCATACGAAAGACGCAGCTTCTTGGTAGTTTCTTCTTGAATTTGTGTCTGGCCTGTGGAGTAGCATCTCTGTGAGCGCGGGACAGAACAGAACAGATGCTTGATCTTTTCACAGTTTCCGAATGCAGAAGGTCCAGATGCGGAAGGTCCTCTGTTTGTTTTCTTATGTTTTTTTTTTTATTTTTTTCCTGGACATTATTATAATCCAATGTTATTAAAGCAAATCAGGTCAAGGTACTGGATCTTTTGGATAATTGATCCGGCCAATGGGTCACTGATTGGACTGTTGGATTACTTATACAATAATAAAAATATATTTTGCAACATATAAATCACGAACAAGAAATGGTGAGGTGGGAGAAAATTATTACACCGATTTGGTCATTCATTTAATCAAATTAATATAATTTTTACGCATCATTGAATTTATATTTATCATTTTGATGGATGTATTATTAACTATTTTATTTTATAATTATAAATGTGTTATTAAATACGAAAAAGACTCCCGTTAAAATGTGATTTACTAAATAGATGATCCGAGTAAATTTAATTATTTATAATAGTTCTATTAATTTGATAAAGATTTTAGATGGCGGACCAAATTTGTGTAATGATTTCTTGTGAAGTGCTAAATGCATAACTTTTGAAATTGAAGGTTCCAAATTTAAACCCCACGAGTTACAATTTTCATTAAAAAAAAAAACTTATTGTATCATAAAACAAACTATATATATTTTAATTATTGTGGTACGTTCTTTCAAAAGTAAATGAAAAATATATGAGCTAAGTTTCTAATAACCATTTTAGCAAATGAGGCATTTTTTGTTCAAAATTTTGAGTTTACATGATGTGACATGATAAGTAAAATGTTACCATAGATAATAGTTCACATAAAATGACACATAGTTGAAAATTAAAATTTCCAATTGAATGGACGATACATAACCCACTAATGCAAAACCAATTCCAAATACATCACGACCACTAAATCCTCTCCGAGTTTGGTCTTAACAAGTTTATCTTCTTGTTGCCTTAATATAAACCTATCAATGAAAGTTGAAAACAAATAGAGAGGAAATCTTTGTTCCATTTATGGTTGGTCAATGAACTCATCATCCATGAATTAACCTTACAATTATTGAATTGCTTGTTTGACTTATACAAAGGAATTTAAAACACTCATTTGTCCGCAATCAACCTTCTCAATCAATAAATAGCAACACAATTCTTCCTTTTCTTTTGCTTCTTCTCTTCATCTACCTTGCTCTTCATTGTTTTTTCCTTCTTAGATGTCATTTACAACTTGATATACTACCTTAACTACTCTTCTATATCTCCTCAATCTTTGTATCTCATCACCAGTATCACAAGCTAGCAATCCTCCACACATCGTAGAGCATTCATTCATTTCACCAAATTTCTTCTCTTGCACAAATTCAACGGAAGTCGGGGTCACCCTCAAGGTCAAGGAACAACCCAAAAACCATGCTCGTAGACCTCACAATATAAGTAGTCTCGACAATCACATAAAGAAGTTATGGCTCTAGTATAAGGTCTAAAAGTTTGGGAGACATTGTGGTGAAAGCCAAAGGGAAGAGTGCATCACGCGGAGAAGTCGTGGCTCGATAAACTTGAACAATGGTCATTCAAATAATGTCTTCTTCTCTTTTTTTCTCGACATACAATTTCAAGGTTGGGATCATTGTCAATAGTTAAGAAAGAGAAGAACACTAGGGATTTGGACTTGTTTGTCGGGCAAAAAAGAGAAGAAGATTAGGAATTTGTCTTTTTATAAATTGAATTAGGTTTGTATTATGGGAATTAGTTTTTGAAATTGATTTTGGATTAGTGAAATTTTATTTTTTGTTCACATGTCATCCTATGTGGATTGTTATCCATGGTGACATCCTATATGTCATGCCATATTATGTGAACTCATAATTTTGGATGAAAAATATCTTATACGCTAAAATGGTTACCGGAATCTTAATTCATGTATTTTTTAGAAACTTTTGAAAGAACAAGTCGAATGATTAAAATGGGTATAGTTTGTGCTTTTATGATACAATAAGGCAAAAAAAAAAAAAAAAAAAAATCAAGTCAATACCAAATCAACTAGACCAACTAGTTGGATTTACCAAGTTTGATCTATCTTGATTAAGGCTATTACAAATTTGATATTTAGGTCTAACATGGATTGGTTAGATGATCGGATCATTGAGTTTCGATTGGACCAACCGATCGGATCCATAATTAATAACACTCGTTAAAATCTCCTTACAAAAATTCTTCGATTGAAAAAACCTTCAAAATAAGTTTTGTATATATAAAACCTTAAAATAAAAATTTCTTTCCAAAATCTCTAAAATCTATCACTTAACATTGATAATTCATTTGGGTTTTTCATACATAAAATTTTTTATTTTGAAGCTTTACATATGAAAAAAAAAAACAAATCGGATTAAAGATATTTTACAAGTTTTTATATTCTATATAACACACATTATTCGTTTTCCCTTCAAATTACAATCATTGTTTTGAGAACAATTTTAACGAAAAATATTTTTTTTCTAATTGCGATTACAATTCTATAATATGATTATAGTAAATTTCAATATGCCTATTAAGATTTATATATTGTCTTAATTTTATTTAAAATATTTGATTTGTTTCAATCGAACCCATTTCTTTCATTTTTGTTCCCATCTTCATTTCCTTCAAGAGTAGTAATGAAAAAGGTGTGTAAATTTCAATTTTATTCTTGAAATTTATATAAAATCTCAATATAACCGTAAAAAAGTAAGGATGAACAAATTGAAATAAAAAGTAAAAAAGAATAAAATTTCAATATAGCCCAAAGTAAGGCCAATGAAAGAGAGTTCCTTGTTATCTCTCAAAAGTTTTTTATTATTTTATTTTTTATTTACAAACTTTCTATACAAAGTAAAATATATATATATATTTTTCAATGACTTTACGTTGTAAGCATTATAAAAAAGACATGACTAATATCATCTAATTTTGACCCCTTTTATTTTAAATTCTTCCAAAAACAAAAAAGAATAAAATATTTTTCTTAATTCACTTAATTTTACAAATTTTTACTTTTTTTATTATTAGGATTTTAGGAAGCCCATAATTTTTTAGGTTTAAAAGAAAACAAATAAAGAAAAGAAAAGAGAGAAAATAAACAAAAGAGGAAAAAGAAATAAGAAAACAAACTAGAAATTTGGGCCCAATTGATAAAATATAAAACATTGAACCCAAGAATAGTAGAATTAGGGATTCAATTAAAATGATTACCAATTGAAAATACAAAAGCGAGAATAAAGAAAGAGATAAATTTTAAAATTTGGAAACATGAAAAAAAAAGGGCTAATTTAGAATTTCTCTAAAATCCTAACAACCCATTATAAAAGGACCATTTCTTCTCTCTCATTGGATGAGGAGGTCATTCATCTTTTCTTAGAGAAAAAGAAACCAAAAGAGAAGGAAAAACTCTTTCCACTCATCTTTCCCAAAACCACCACCATTAACCACCAAAAAAACCTCGCACTCATCATCCATGGTCACTACAACCTAAAACACATAAAAATCCCTAAAAAATTCTCCGAAGATACTTGTCAAAAATCAAGAAAAACCTTTAAAAAGCTATTGGCAACCCTTTCTTTCTATTGTCGTTGTTGTCGCTCATCGTCCAACGAACAACCATTGCAGCTCACAACCTTCTCTTTTGACCACTTTTAATAGTAGCCACGTCCTTCCCTCTCTCGACCACTTTCAATAATAATCATGACCCTCCTCTTTTGGCCACTTTCACAGTAATAGCTATCGTTTAAGACAACGATAGAATAGATAAGACAAGTAATGCTAACAAACTCCTTATACAAGTAGTCGCTATCCCTCAATAATTTCTAGCTCTAAATCAACTTTATTTTTCCAATTTTAGCCTTGAAATAGTAGGTAAAATTGCCATTTTTAGGCAATATCTCTCGGCCAAGATAGCTACCACACACGACAAGCAGTAGCCTCCCTAAAATAGTAGCAACTCAACCATAATTAGTAGTGGTTCCCTTTTAATTTTCTAACCTTAACTTCCCTTAAGACAACCCTTTTTTTGATCAATTTTCCTCTATAGTTGATAATATTAATTTTTTTTATCGACGAGTGAAGAAAGTGATCCAAAGGAGCAAAGAAGGAACCTTGATTTATCGACACTCTTAAGAAAGTTCTTAGGCCATTTTGACTAACAAGGTAAGTTTTCAATATCTTTATGTTGCTTTTACATTTTTGAAAAATTAAATTTATATGTATGAATGTGTTGGATAAATGAGTTGTGTATGGATAAAATATGGTATTTGAAGTGATTGAGATACATCATTGTATTTCAAACCTAAAAGGATCGAAAACCTTAGATACTTTTGAAACGGAATAAGGTTGGTTGGTGTTCAATGCTCTATGGTTAAGCTAAAAGGATTAACTTGGGCTTTATTTTTAATGGCTTATTCGGAATGATTATCGGTCTCAATATGCGTAATAATACATGTTTTTTTGTTTATACATAGTGATAATTAAATATGAATGTTTATTTTGCATTAATTATGTGTTATTAGTGATTAAATGTGACGTATGCATGCAATGAAATGATCGGTGTTGTCTTTGAGGAATGACAATGTATTTTGAACAAATGAATGTGATAAGTGTGTGACAAACCAAATGAGTTATGGATTTATAGTCGGTAAAGATTTGCCTATCTTTGATATAAGCTTGCAATAGTTAGGGGCTTGCCTTTTATTATGTTATG